TGTAATTGATTGTTTGCATTAATTAAATCCCTAGGGTTAGGGATTGGAAAAACATACATTTCCAAATTACTTCCCACAGCGAGGGTATTTAAAGGAAGTATTTCTTGTCACAAAAAGGCACATAAAAAGGCAGCTTGCAACACACCTATTTTAAGAATGTCATTAGTTTACATAATGAGTTTAATACAATTCATAATAACTGATGTAGATATAGATCTTACATGGATAAAGTCAGATACTAAAATGATGGGCATGACAATAAACTAGATAAATGGATACAAAGTTATTACACAGAAAAGATGGGAAAGCTGGCTTTGCTTCAGCTACAGGTCATCAGGGAAATATACTAATTCATTTCAGCTCATTATAAAAAAAGCATTCCTTACTCTTGTAGGGAGAAATGAGACCACAGAGTAGATGGCATGTTTTTAGTGGACTGTTTTTCAGTCCATTAGATTTAAAAATCCTGGTCATTGTTTTTACTACTGAAATTTCATAAATCTTGTCCTTGTTGGCATTTTGTTCCTGAGAATCATTCCAAAAGAAAATATTTTGGAGTCAGCACATGGAATTATTATCAACTAGCAATTTAAAAGGACCCAGGAATCCAAAGGTGAGGTCTTAATAAAAGAGTGACAAAATGTCTGGCATTTAAATATCAGTTATATGTAGAAGGGTTTATGATTTAAAAGCTTATTACAAGATTTTAGATATTTTATTCTCATCTAACACTTGATCTTGAAGTTTAGTGTTCTCATATAACGGCAATTTTTAAGAAGTGTTTAAAACAGTATCATAAAGAAGTTTGGTTCTTAGTTTGCGTCATATTTGGTTTCACTGCAAAACCCTAAAAAAACCCCCTTTAAAATGAGAATCAGCTTATCTAGAAAACAAGCAGCTAATATAAATATGTGAAAAAAAATCTGCAGACTTAAGACAATCAACATTTTCTAACATTGCTTACAAACTTTTACTCTTGCATCAAAAATTTCACAGAAATGCCTCTGTATTTGCCTGTCAAACAGAAGCTGTGCAGCTGTAAGTAAAATGATAACTGGAAAGATAGGGTGAGTGGTATCCAGGCATCTCTCTCTTAAAGCAACTTATTCATATATGGCATGAAATAAAAACAGGGTTGGTTAAGTAAGGGAAATTACTCTCTCTCAGGAAAGGAAATTGCCTGAAGCACATCTGGCAATAAGCTTTAAAAGCTTAGTTTTGACAAAATATACATTTCAACCACTTTGTAAGGTGAATTCCATAGAATGAATGTCTTTTTTTTTTTTTTTTTTTAAAGGAAAGATTTAATTTGTACTTTAAATATACTGGGCTAGTATTTGCTATTTTATGTCAAACTCTATATATGTAACAAAAAAAGCAATCAGGAATTCACAGACTAAACTTCACTATTGCAGTTTGGAGAATATACTGCACCATATACTATCTTAAATAGACCCCTTCATCTACAAAGCACCTAAGAAAACCAAAAATGAAAAATACAAACAAAAGTATCCAGAGGAAACAACTGATCTGAAACATTTTTACTGAAATTTGTACTGGACTGTACAAAACCCCATGCCAAGTCATTCAAATTTTTCCTATTTTTAACATGTCTGACAATCTAACAAAGAGATGCTCCCTTGCACTGTTGACAAGAGGTCAATGTCATTCAGTAGTTATGGAGTAAGTCCTGCCCTCCAAAAAGGATGCCAGACTTATCTAACGCCTCAGAGGTTCAGTAAGAAGGCAGTACTCCAACCTCCTTTGAGCTTTTGAGGACAAAAATGTATTTAAACTTTCATTACTTTTCACACTAGCTTTCTAAATTCAGATTCTTCCCGCTTTCATCCTCTTTGAACTCTGGCTCCTATGGTTCCCCTGAGGCACAGCAGACCACTTCCTCCTCTACAGCTGGGAAAGCAAGTCCCAAAGGGATGACAAGAGCAAAAAGTATAAACAACATACAAAAAGATGCGCCAAATGCAGCACCAACTTCCAAAGTAGGGTTAAAGGGATGTTGTAATTATTTTGCTGGCAAGGAGAATGTTTTTTGAATACTTTATTTTGGCTTTGTATGTGGGGGGAAAGATCCCTACAATGGAACAGAGATTATGTCTGCCTGATCCAGATGGTGATATAGCAAAGGCCTTGCTGGTTTGGTTAAAAGGGACATTCGAGTCATTACTACTGCAAACAGCACAGATGAAAAAAAGCCATCCTTCTTTGAGTGGGACCACTGGAGTGTTTCTCTAAAGAGAACGTTATGCCCTACAGTGTATGCAGCAACAGATTTCAGAAGGGGCCACTGTTTCCAACAGATACCAGACAGCACTCCTGGGCAAGATCTCTGTTTTCTTACCCCCTCTCCCAAAGCTCCTGCATCCACTATAGCAAATGGACACATGTTAATGCTATACTGAATAGAAATGCTATCCTGGTTGATCCTTGCAGTACTCAAGACAACCAGATTTCTCTCCTGGTAGAGGATCAAGATGTACCAAGTATCATTAAATCCAATCTTGCTCCTGGCCCCTCTACCCTCTGAAGGACTCTCAAGTTCACACACCCGCAGTTCCTGATGAAAAAGAATCAGGTTCAACCCTTAAAAGACATGGCTCCAGCCCCTCTCATCTCTGCAAAAAATCAGCAAAACTGAAATGCAAAGATGATATCAGGGATGAAGTCAGCATTGGCACATAACAATGTAACTAAACTTAGTGCTTACAGGTGACAAGGGTTTTGTTTGGCAAAAATCTTAAAAATCCTCTCAGAAAAGTGTAAACCTTTGCCCATCTCCTTGTCTGACAACTTCTCAGGGCCCCTCTCTTGAGATAATGGCTCTCACAATAAACAGCTCTCCCAATTACAATAAAAGCCCTTAAGAGGTCACACTTTTCACTTACATCTTTCATTTCAATGCCTAACTAAAGAGAGAAAATAAGTTGCATAAAAAAAAAATCTAAGAAAGGAAGATAATCTTTCCTCTTTATTCTTGATAAATACATTTCGTGTGTCAGAGCAAAATCAGAAGAACTTAATGAAAAAGTTTTCCTCCCCAGTATTTTCAAACTAAGATCCTACATTGTTTTGGATATACTGCTAGAGGAAAATGAAAAAGGCAGAGCCAGGCTATGAATGTGTAAGTACTTCCTTTAAAGATGAAAGGTGAAATATTTATTCAGATTATTTCATCTTTAATCCAAACTATTTACAATGAGTGGAAATGTCCTAATATATCTAAATTTGTCTAGTTAGAAACCTAGGATATCTATAGAACCTAAAACACTAAATCTGATCACATAGACTCACTGAAGGGTACCACAATAAACTTTTCTCTAGAAAAGGAGACTATATAGATAGAAGGAAGTCTACTTTTTAATCTGTTGGTTACTTTGAAAGGACAAGCCAAACTTCAGAGAAATTTAGAGGTTTTTCAAAAAGGCCTCAGGGTATCTGTTAAATTTACTTGCTTTGTTAGGGCAAAAGCAAGCTGGACAGATACACAGATAAAAAGCAGACTCTCTCTCTGCCAAAAAGAAATGTACTAGTACTAGACTGATTTTACAAAAAATATCCTTGACCATGTCCTTAGTTTTAGATATCTCTATATCCTCTTATTCAAAAAATGATCAATAGTAGATGAACCCTCCCCAGAAATAAGTGTGATATATTTGGTTTACATGCCTTGGAACCGACAGAAGTCAAGCATGTTTTGCCTCTATCAGAGTTTTCTAGATTACAGCTCTGGAGACTCTTATCTTAAAGGAAATCCTAAAAGTATGGAATACACTAAAATATTCTGACCATTTAGAGAACCTTGTAGGGGTTCCAATTCCCCTCTCTGATTTTGACAGCCTCGTTATACAATAAGTATATGTAGAAAGTAGAATAGTATGAAATCGCTTAGAAAAAAATTGCGTAGGGAAGTCCATAGGGTATACACTGAAGTGTTGCTATGGATAAGAGAGAGATTTTGGTTTCCAGTTCATGTTAATGTAGCACCTTTTATAATAGAGATATTTTCTTAAATTTAAGTATAATATACATTTCTCTAAATAGGGAAGTCCAGCCATCATGTCCAGATTCAGGGAAGCACTGGGTAATTTTGCCTCACAAATCACTTTCCCAGCATGATGGTTTCCAGAAAACATTTTCTACAATTGAGAGGTCATTTTTTCCAAGATTTCAGTGAAATCAAACTCTTTCCCAGGCTCTTTTAGCTGGTTAGCGATCTCATGGTTTTGGAGGATAACTGATCACTGCATTGTACAGGAGGCTCCCTCTCCTTTCTGTGTGCTGCATTGTACGATTACGATACTTGCTTCAGGAGCTTTTAACCCTATTTTTGACAGGTGTGTGTCAAATATTGTACCTGGGCACAATATTAGTTTAATACGATTGCATAATAAAGAAAATCCAATGCTCCCATGCTGCATACCAGGGAATTGTTCTTGCCACTGAAAAGTTATTCCTCCTTTTTCAGTCTGCCTGATTTCTGATTTTATTAAAAAAAATTAAAAAAAGATTAACTTTTTATATAAAAGGACTACTATTTAGCATTGCCATTCATTTATTAAAAAGTTTATGAAATCAAAACACATTCAGTTCCAGGGTACAGTGGGGCATATAAGAGCATAGCATGTTGAATGGGGAGTTTAGCACTTAAAAAGAGGCATTATTTCTTTCTGAAACAGCAAGCTGAAACCTGCCTCTGTCTGATTAGAAAAGCGCCTTCCTCTTTATTTATATGAAGTATTAAACATAAACCAAGCTGTGCTGATCTGAGAGTTATTTCAAAAGAATTTTTCTTCAAGAGGAACAAACAAAGGAACTTTCGTAACTTTAAAAAAAAAAAAAAAAAAAAAAAATCACCTCTACAAATAATTTACAAGCTCACTCTGGAAACATAGTTGGAGGCTATCGGAACTGATTTCTCTGTCTAGGAAATTCTTAATTAGAGCTGTGCTTAAGAAATTCACAGGGGTCCTCTAATTGATCGATTTTTTCCAGAGGTTTTATGTAGCAGACTATACAGTATCTAGCAGAACGTTCTGACTTTCCTGCTGCTTTGCAAATGACACCCCCCACAGGAAGATAACGGATAAGCCAGGAGGGAGGAGCAGTCAAGCTACACATGTCTGGGTACTCTTATCAACTTATCATATAAGGAAAGGAAAGTGATTGATTCAGATACTGTAAAAAAGGCTAAGAGACAAGCAGAAGAAAAACTAAAGCTTGTTTTTGAAACTAACACATCTAGCAGTTGAGACGGGACTGCTTTGCCTGCTCGCATCTGACAGATTACGGAACGACTGGAGAGAAGACGGCACTTTTCAAGTTTGCAACTAGGATACTGAAAACTCAGCCCTCTCTCAAACTACTTTGCACATGACAACAGAGCACTGAATTTTAGGGCAGGTTAACTCTATAACCTGAGCTTTTGTTAAACATATTGAAATATTTTAGATTTACTGGGTTACCATAGGAATTAAAATGCGGCTGGTTGTTTACTGTATTTTGAGCTGCAATCTTTTCTTAGCTTCAGGGTATACTTCCTTTCGTAAAAGCACGGAGACTGTAGGCAAAAAGCAGTATCAAGTTCAGCATGGGTCATGCAGTTATACTTTTCTTTTGCCCGAGACGGACAACTGCCGCTCATCTTCTAGCTCCTATGTGTCGAATGCAGTACAGAGGGATGCGCCACTAGACTATGACGACTCAGTACAAAGACTGCAACTACTTGAAAACATCATGGAAAACAACACTCAGTGGCTAATGAAGGTAGGACTATGTAATTCCTATTTTAAAGATGTGTGTGTATATTATATGTATATCATTATACATTTATACTGCCTCTTCTTTTTCTGCTCTAGTAGTTTGTAAATTCACAAAACTGACAACAAGTAATGCATGGTGTAGACAACATTTCTGAATGAAGCTGTTCAGCCAAAAGTTAACTTTGAAATCAGGCAGAAATGTTAGTTTAGTAAGAGAAATATAGTTACATTGTTCTGAAAAAAACCCTACATGTATGCTGCTCAGCTTGTTTCAACACTCAGTTTTAATTAAAATAATTATTAGCGCGCGCGCACACACACACACACACACACACACACACACACACACAGGCTTGCTGGCATATTTGACAACTCATAAGCAAAAACAGAAACAGGAAAAACTTGATCAGCTACTTATTTACAAATAACTGACAGCAGCTAGCTTATCTCTATTTAAAAACTGTATAATGTTAGCTTACTTGGGCACATGTTGTGCAAACACTGAACAGAGATTTACATGTGAACCATGATTAGGAAGACTTTTGTGAAACAGTATGTTCAGGATCTGACTTGTGAAATTAACTTAGTGAAATGACAGAATTTCAAGAATCTCTACTAACGGAAGTTGTTTGCATCCTTTAACATTTCCACTCAAGTATAGTTAACAAAGAGCTGTTTTGGGGGGGTGGTGGTGGGGGAGGGATCGGGAAACTTTTTGTTGCAGCTACCACAAGGCATCTTTCTTCCCTCGCAATAGCTTCAATGCAATCTCTGAGCTAAAACAGCATAGATATATCCTAAAAATGGCAACACTGATTCATTCCTACATGAAGAGTGGGAAAGCAATTTAATACGACACTAATAAAATACTTATTTTTCTGTACAAATGAGTTACCTTTTTACAGAAATACTAATATTAATAGAAGGAAGCATAGCTTAATTGCACAGTCTAGCTCAAATCCAACATCTCACGCACAATGATACTTACATTCTTAGGAACAAGTACTCTGATGATTGAACTCAGCAACTGACATAATAATCATAATGTAATGATGCACATAGTATTCCTTGTGCTGCAATGACACTATAAAAATCATTCTGAATTCTAAAGGAAGGTAACTCAACTTTCTTAACATAAGTTGCTTTCTTTACTCTTATATTTAAAAGTCATAATGAATCATCAGCGTGAAATAACATTCTTTCATTCAGATTCACTTTATCTGAGTATACAGTGACAGTACACAGTCTGAGTATACATCCTGTGCATCTAGGTGTACACACACACACACACACACACACACACAGTTCTCCTGTAAAATCAGCTAGTGTAATTGAATGCGTAAAATATAACAGTCACATTCCTGGGCACAAGACAATGTATAATTACATATTTGAAAGGTAGCCTTAGATCTTAATCCCTAAATTCGCACTTTAGTGCTTCAAATGCACTGCCCTATCCATATTTAGGTGCTAAATAATGAGGGTTTTTTTAGGATGCTTATTTGTAGGCACCTGAATTTTCAGATTTGGCTTGAATATTTGCATATTTTTTGGCTTGAAAGTTCACCCCTCTTTTGTTTTAGCTTCATGTTTATTAGGGAAAACATTTTTTCTGCAAGCATATTTACATCCCTAGCTATTATCTAAGCCATGCTTACCATTGGAACATTAAGATCAACACTAACAATGTGCAAAGTAAGATGAAAAATATGGAAAGTAAAACAGCCTAATCAACACAGCTGGTAAGCCATTTCCTAAAATAAACAGCAAATGTACAAAGAATTCTGTGCTAAATGCCAGTTACTATACTGTGTTTGCTTACTTAGGTGACACTAGGTAAACCAAAACCTGTAAGCAAATTCTACCATCCTTAGTCAAACTGTCAGTCACTGAGAACAGGATAAGCGAATTAACACATTCATCAAGAATTCAAAAGACAGATTTTTCTTATGAGACAAATATGATGTATTTATTGGTGCCAGTTGTGCAAATATTTCCATATTTCCAAACGCCTGTTTTAGAATGGCCTGCTTCTTTCTACATTTACCAGTGAACCATCCGGAAAAAATGTCTGTTTACCTTTCATTGCTTTAACACCTGTTCTTTATCCTATCGACTGTATCTACAAAGAACACCTTAGAAAGTCAGCTTATGTTGAGATTTACTTTGCTAGTGACAACTGATCTGCTAAGTGGATGCAAAAAGCAAACAGTAATCCTGAAAATTGTTACCAAGCTTAATGCTTGTTTTTTTCCTTCATTTTATCACTCTCAAATTTTCACATTCAGAGTTCAATAAAGATATATATTATTGGGTGTAAAATCAGCCCAAGTTAGACAAAATAAAGCTTCAATGCTCAACTAGTTAGAACTAACATTGAACATTTAAATGTACTTTCATTTAAAAAAAAAGTGACAAAATTTGTTTTCAGAAAACTTATTTCTTCAGGAAATCCCAGCAAACAGGCAGCACCTGTCTGTTCTGAAGCAAGGGTAACAAGATCTAAAATAATTTCACAAGCTTTTTATGTAAATTAATGTCATAAACTGAGTTCCAAGTGTATGTACTGCACGTCCCAAAACATTTCACATTTCCCCCCTTTAATCCATCAACCAAAGGAAATGTGTTTCTGAATGAACACTGGGCTGTATGAATGGAAAAGCCTGGGAAAGGTACACTGTCTCTAGTTAATAGATACAAACACAATGGTAAGAAAATTAGTTACGTAGGATCAGATTCTCTTCTGATCTTTACTTGGTTTATAGTTGCCACAAATTAATATGCTGCCTGTTACTTTCCATGGCACAACCTCTTTGCTTAGAACTGTAGTGTTAATTCACAGTACTATTATAAACACAGCTCTTTTAAGTGTCCATTTAAAGTGATCATTTAATTAGGAAATTGTGAACAAGAATTTAGCTGCCATACCAGATTAAATCACTCTTCCACCTACTCCAGCGAAGAGAAAATAAATGATGCTACAGTGAAGGCAAAAAAAAAGTCAAGAAACACCTAAATTAAATGGTGTAGCACTGTATTTGAAGGTAATTTCTCTTTTTTCCACCCCAGAGACCAGTTTACACACTGTAAAATTGGATTTATTTACCTTAATTTTATGAAAGGGAGAAAGAAAAAAAACCCCTGTGGGCATTTAGATTTTAAACTAATTAAGGGCAGAGGAAGACAGAAAGGAAACAGCTGAGAAACCCTGCAAAAGTTGCTTGCAAGCTACTACTACTTTGGATTTTGTTAAGGGAAATGAGCTTGCAAATGTTGTTACACAATCCCGTATTCTTAAAGTCAATGAATACATGAAGTTTTGTTTAAGTTAATGGTAGGTATGTTTCTTTGAATCATGGGAGTTTCATATATACCAGGTTGAGAAAAAGACACTAAAATACTTGTATATTTTCTTTAATTCATTGCTTTGTAACTTGCTACCATAACACAGGAGATCCTTCCATCCAGAGGGATATATAAGAAATTTGCTGCGTCTTCCTAGCCTATGCTATTAGAAGCGGTTTGTGACAATATGTTATTTAACTGTAGTACATCACAGGTAGATAATTTATTTTGTATAGTTTGTCTCCTGAACAAAATGGAATCCTAGGAAGCAGGCTGGGCCTGAAGAGTTCAGTTCAAGATCAACAGAAGAACTAAGTTCAGCCAATACTGAACCTAAGGTGGGTAATTATTGGGTGCTGATGTACTAGAAGAAGTGCAGCCCTTTGGGACAATATTAAACAATGGTTCCTTGTCTTCTCTGTAAGTAAAAACCCTTTGGCTCTGTGTAATTCCTAATTACTTCAATTAGCCAATGTTTCTTCTCTGAGCAAAACAAGTTCTTGGGTTTTGGCTATATAAGAACAAGTACATAACACTTGCATATTTTCGTACACCATTTCTGTAATACTAGCATCTACGATATTATGAAATAGTTTACACTACCTTGAATATGAACACCTTCAATATTTCCAAGTCTAACCAAGCTTTGTGTAATAATACATAGGGACAAATATAGTTGACCGTTTGGTATTTTGCAGTATTCAAGTGATGATGCTGACTCTTGAATCTAAGAAGCACATTCTTTGCTTAAGTAATGCATCTGTTTTCACTTATATATTAAAAGTTCTCATTCCATATATCAGTTACATATTCATAAAACAAAAGAGAACTGGCAGGACACAAAAAGAAAATACCTTTTATATATTGAGACAACAGTGCATGTTAGAGTATAAATTTTCCAATATAAAATTATCTAACTATGCAATTAATTAATATAAGTCAGGTAGATGCATCTCAGTGAAATGCTTTAAAACTATATTCCCCCACATGCTCAGAGATCATATTGTGAAGGCTGATACCATTACCAGTCATCCTACAACTGCAAACTTCTTGTTTTTAAGGTGAAACAAATATGACACCATATGACATAATGAACCCAGCCACATCAGGAGCAGACATTTTCTTGTGCTGATTTATAAGAAAAAAAAAAAAAAAAAAATGATCTTGAGAATTTACTATCTGCAAGTGTAAAAGGCAACGTCTGTAGTGGTAAAGAGGCCCTTGCTTTACATAACTGCCTCAAGCATTCAAAACATAGACTTTTACTTGCCTACTCAAACTGTGTCTTGACTTATATATATGGCTGGTCAAAGCAACAATGGGAAGCCATTTCCCATTTGTGACTGACATTTTCACCTCTAAACTGTCTTGCTTTCTTTAGGTGTGCATCTAACAGGTGACTGAAAATGACTGATGGACAATTTCCAAGATTAATGTCTCATTAAAATAAATTCCTGCTTATGTACCCACTTCATACACTTCCACCATAAACTTCTCCTTAAGCCAAATAGCATAACCTTCATAAACAGAGCTTTAATCTTTATTTTCTGAAGAGGTGCAGTTACTTTCAACACTGTGTCCTTCCTGGACATTAACTTGCCACGTATGCTGCTCTGACACGTATTTTATTATTATGCAGGGTGAAGTGAAGTTGTCCCC